GAGCTGGAAAGTAGTTAGGTACCTATAGGGCCACCAGGAGAGCCACTTCAGTGGAAAGTAGACATGTAGTCTGTGAATGTCATTTAGTGAGTCGGACACTTGCTCCTTTCCCATCTCAAGTATCAGTGGTACATTTAGGTAGAACTCTTTGCTTTTGATACATATGGGCAAATAAAGTGATATTAAATTTTCATAGGGGGAGGATGATAAGAACAACCTGCTGAATAAATTGACTTAGGGGAAGCAAAAATGAAAAAGAAAGTTGAGAAACCCTGGGTTATGCAAGGATGACTGTGTCTCTGAGAATTATGCCAAATCATCCTCTCCCTTTCATTCCACATCTCTGGGTAGGAGCACAGAACATTCAAAGATAAGACTGAAACTCACATGCTATAGTTCTTCTGCTACTAACTGACAGTGATTAGATTTGCCGTGACTTTTATAGTTCAGGTGATTTTTTTTTTCATTTCATTTGTCACTTTGCACTTAGCATTAGTCAACTGGCATCACTCATACCTATCTTTTCTGCCTCATAATTAGATTATAAGGTATTTTGTGGCAGAGACATTAACTTTATTTATTTTTAATTTTTTTCCTGTTAAGTTTGTTGGTACATTTAAAGCAAACAATACAGTTACATTTATCATTGGGATCTTGTACCTTTACATGATATGTCTTAGTTCTTATTTTTTCCTCATACCCCTGACCTCCCTTCACCCCCTTCACCCTTCCCTATGAAAGATTAACTTTATCCTTCAAACATTCAGTGAGCATTTTCAGGCATGAGCTAGAGTCCAACAAAACAAAACAACCCACAAAGCCATAAGACACAGTTTCTGACTTTAAAGATTTTCTGGTAAATAGTTATGAAACTGTGTGACAAGCATAATGATAGATACGTACAATTTGCACAGAGAAGTATCCTGTGTAAGTGGGAGGAGTTGAGCTGAGCCTTGTAGAAGAAATGAAGAGGAATTTCCTGGGTAAACAATGGGTAGGGGACAGGCTGAACTGGAAATGAGACCAGGCCAAAGGATGAGGGTCCTTGAGGCTTATTCTAAGGTCCTGGATCTTATCTGTGAAGCAATAAGAAGATGCTAGAGAATTTAGCCAGTGGCACGATTAGCTCACTTTTTTCAGAGCTCTCCTTGCTGAAATGTGGACAGGAACAGAGGAGTCTGGAACTTTATTGGGAGATGTTTTAGTAATACAAAGTCAGTGATGCCTGGATAAGGAAAGTATGTTGGGGTAAAGTGGAAGGAACTAGCTAAAGTTCACATGAGAAAGACAATCCAGGGAACCTGTTCATTTAAAGGATGTGAGTGTGAGTGAAAATTACTATCATCAGTACTGTGAGGGAAGATTTGTCACTATCTCTTAAAACATAAAAGGGAATAGTCTGTGCTATAGTTTGGACTTGGAATACTTCCCAAAGGCCCATTGTCCTCATTAGAGTACTACTGGAAGATGGTGAGACTCTAAGAGGTGAGGTCCAATGAGAGGACTTAGGTCATTATGGTTTTGCCCTCCAAGAGACTGTGAATTTTAGTCTCTTCTCCTCTTTGTTTCTTACACTTCTTGGTCATGAGGTAAGGGTTTTTGCCTGACCTGTGCTACTGCCATGATGTGCTGCCTCTCAACCTACAACAGAGACCAAAAACCCACGGGCCCACCTGATCATGTACTTGAAACTCCAATACATTAGTCAAAATAGACCTTTTCTATTTACAAGTTGTTTATCTAAGATATCTTCTATAGTGATGAATACTGACTAACATAATCTATGACCCATCTATGGTTATCTACCCTAAGAAGAAAATTACTCACCACAGTTCATTAAAAATAAGCAAAAAAAGAAACCCAGATAGACACCACATGTCTATCAATAAAGAACTGGATAAAGAAACAACATTTAAAAATGAGAAGCACCTCTGTACACCAGCTCATTATATGACTGGGAAGAAAATCCCATTGTAGAATGTCTCATACACTAAGAAAAACAAAACAAAACAAAACAAAAAACCTCATCTTGGTATTTGAAAGTGCTCCTTTAGTTGTCTCTTACCGTTTCACCTCAGATTTTTTACCTATCCAGTCTCTCTCACCCACATAGTGCTACTTAGTTTTCTTGTTTCTTTAAAAATTTTAGTATTGGGAGAATATGAAATAAGATTTATAGAATATATATAAATCATATAATTTTGATGTAGTCAACACTTCTGTGCTTACCACTAACTCTAAGAACAGAAAACACTGTCATACTTTTCAATGTTTTTTCTGTCCGTCTCAAGTCTTTTATTCTCTCCTCTCCAATGTGAATATTTTCCTGAATTTTGATTATAGTTTTGCATAATTTTCATGCTTAGTTTTGTGTGTTTTTGAACTTTATATGTGGAATAATATGGAAGGTACATAATAAACACAAAATAGGTCTAAAAGGAGATTATTTTTCTTTTTTCATTGATAAAATAATTATATAAAATCATTTAAAATTTAGAATAATATGACAGTGTAGCCAATTAGTACGATCAACATAAAATTATAGTTTCTTCTATCAATAATAATTATAAAACAAAATAGATCCACTCATAGTAACAACAAATTAACCTAAATTCAAATCTACATGTTTCACCTACAATGTGGGAAAAAATTGCTATTAGCTATTCCTCAGACAAAGGTCTCCTATCTAGAATATATAAAGAACTAAAAAAAATCAGACCCCCCAAATACAAAGACCCAATTCAACAATGGGCATCTGAAATGAATAGATATTCCTTCGACAAAGAAGTAAAAGCAGCAAATAGACATATGAAAAAATGTTCATCATCACTGGCCACTTGAGAGATGCAAATAATGACAATGCTGAGATTCTGCCTCACCCCAGAAATAATCGCTGGTATCATGAAATGAACCAATAACAAAGGCTGGTGGGGTTGTGGAGAGAAAGGAACCTTTCTTCATTTTTGGTGGGACTGTTGCAGACTGGTGCAACCACTGTGGAAATCAATATGGAAATACCTCAAACAACTAGGGTTAGAAGTCTCATTTGACCCAGTTACTCCTCTGTTAAGTATCTTCTCAAAAGAATTACAATAATTAGACCATAGTGATATATGTGCACCCATGTACATAGTTTCACAGTTGATAATAATTAAAACTTGGAAATAGTCCAAGTGCCCATCAACTGAAGACTGGATAAAGAAGACATTTTTGTTGTTATTGTTATTTTGAGACAGGGTTTCACTATGCAGTTGAGACTGACCTGGAACTCACTATGTAGCCTAGGCTGGTCTTGAATTCACAGTGCTCCTCCTGCCTCAACCTCTTGAGTGCTGGGACTATAGGCATGTGCCACCACACCCAGCTAAGAAGATTTAAAAAAATGGAATACTACTCAACCATAAAGAATGAGAAACTAGAGAACTTTATAGCTAAGTGGATGCCCATTGAGGCCATACTCTTAAGTGAAAGAAGACACGTGTAAATACCAAATAGTTTCTCTGGTGTGAAAAACTAAAAGTGTAAATAAGGGTCAAAATGTATAATTGGTAATGCGAAATAGGAAGAAGAGGTCTAAAGGAGTTGGTGAAGTGGGATGGATAGGACAAAGGAAAAAAAGGAAAATAAAAAAATATGAGAAAAGGAAAAAAGTCTGTAAATACAGAAGGGTGGAGGGAGTGAAGGGAAGTCAGAAGAATGATGAAAAAACAAGAACCAAGATACATTAAGTAAAGGTACAAGATCCTAATGATGAATGTAACTGTATTGTATACCTAAAATGGACCAAAAAACAATGGAAAAAAAATCTAGGTGTTGCATGTGGAACAAAATTTGAAACATCCCTTGTATTTGGTTGGCATCATGAAGGTAATATGACCATTTGATCCTCAATTAATTTGTATTTCCTGAGACTAAATATTTGATGGCAAATTCCACTAAGTTACTAGCTTAATGTGCATTCTTTCTCAACATCACACTTGAATGTTTAGGTATTCCAGTGGTGTCTCACACATAGGACATGGTGCCTACCTAAGAATTACTTGGAGGTATTTGTTGAAATACTTGCTGCAAAACAGTACCCACAAGAGGTTTCACATCAGTACTTCTGGATAGATCCAATTTACCTGTATTTTTACTTGGAAAAACTCTGCATCAGCCCAAAAGGAGGAATCTCACATGGTGGCATCCCAGTTTTGTTCTGATGATCAGAAGAGATTTCTCAGGTGTGAAAACTTTTCTGGCAATCCTCAGGCCACATCAGGATCATTATGCACTCTCTATTTTTACTTGGGGCCCTTAAGATGATCTCTATCTAGCTAGGGGATTACATTTGCACCTGGCACTAGTTTAAGGGACATACCGTACATTGTATGCCCTTTATGCTTTTCACATCCTTATGTTTTGTGAGTTTGGAGCTGTCATGATCAGAAGTTTGTATTCCCCAAAATGTTTGTATTAGAATCCTCACTCCTAAGTTGGTGATATCAGGAGGTGAGAACAGTGAAAAAATGCCAGGTATGAGAAAGCAAGGTCTCCCAGACATGGAGTTGCTGTCCTCTTGGTGTTGGACTTGTAGCTTCCAGAAAGATGAGAAATGAAGTTCTACTGTGCCTTAAATACTAGTTTATGATATTTTGTTACCGGTAGTATTTGTGGTATTTTGTAGTCTGAATAGACAAAGATAGGAAGGAAGGAAGGCTTGAGAGTGGGCAGGGAGACAAGGGGGCCCAATAGCATAGGATCTGAGAATGGCATGACTATTTTATTGTCAGTGGTTAGTTGGCCATGATGAAGCAGAGCAGAAGACTAGAACGGAAACCATGACACCCACCCACTGTAAGTTTGGGCTTCTTCCAAAACCATTTTACTCTCATATGTAGATGCAGTAGGTGGGGTGGAAGCTATAAGTAAGCTGCAGGAATCTCTCTCCACACTCTAGAGCCTGGGTGGCCATTCCTGAACTTCTGCATCTACCTGTGATTTCACCTACCTTCAGCTCCATGGGAGGCTTTGAAGGTCATCTGTTCCCAGGGCTGCTTTTTTTCTTCTGTGGACTTTATAATGCACAACTCGTCTCTAGGGCTTTGATATGCAATTCCATTGTCCAGTATCCACCACGTCGTCCTTGGGACAAAGGAAGATGGGCATGGCTACAGCAAATACACTGTATTGGCTTACTGAAGATATTGAGTGCCTGCATTTTAATAGCCCAAGAGTTCTACAGCATTCCTGGACAGTTAGTACTTATCAGCAAGTTATATCATCAGAGAAACTTTATGTATCGCAAACAGTGGCAACATCTTACTCTCTATATGTCTTTCTTTCTGAGTGGATGTTTAGACATGGTGAGCCAGAACTTGCTGTCTCAGAGGTGTGCAGCTCTGGAGCAAAGTACCCAAGCTGTGGGCACATTTATATATCTGCCCCTGATGGTGTCTCACATGCAGGATACAGAAGGAGTGGAGCTGCAGTCTCACATGCTGCTCACTCAGGCCATGTTCCTGCTGACCCTGGTGGTGTTTGCAGAGTTGTGGGCTTCCAGTGAGCCACTAATTTGGATGATGAAGGCCTTTTTTAATATAGTTATAGGCTCTTGGCTGATGCAAATAGGCTTTATGCTGTACAAACCCATCTCTGGCTACAAATGGATGGATGATGACAACAATGACATAGAGTTCACCACCACTTTCTTCTGTTGGCATGTATTGTTCAGTGCTTTTTTGATGATCTGGATCTACGGCTTCTCTTTTGTTTGGTACCGCTACATTTTTGTTAATGTTTGAATCAGGATGTATGCAAGTTGTTCCCTGTTTTCTCACACTTCAGGACATCTGGTTGCGAGGCCATGGGAGGTGAGCAGTCAGAAAGAAGGATCAGGCATACTGCCTTCTGAGGTCCTGCCCTGTGACAGCAAGCTCTACTGGGAGGGGCATAGCCCTTCTCCCTTATGGCTTCTCTCAGTCTTGCTTGCTGACTGATGTGTTGAGGGAAGACGAAAAACCAAGAGTGACAAGCAACTATGACCTTCACACTCAGCTCTCTAAGTGCATCCTTCCCGACCTTTCCTGTCCTCAACTCCAGCCACAGCATCTACTTATCCTGTGCCTCTCTCTTCATCCCTCACTCCCCTCCCAGGAGAATATTAAAATCAATTGCCCTACTTTGTCTCTGGGCCTTTTTATAACTATCCCTCACTCCACCACATAGAATACATGCTGCTTATCATGTTTAGTACATGATAATGTATCCATCATAGAATCCACTAATCAAACTGTTATTTTTCACTTTATAGCGTTCAAGGAACTCTTCTCCAGTTCTCCCCTTTGATCACTCCTTGATCTGTCAAATGTGAAGCCAGAGCTTTGGAGACAGTTTCTTCTTCTGCAGGACCTAGTAGAATAGAGTGACCCCTGCACATAGTGAGGCCTTCCAGCGTTCATTTACCTTCAGACCTTTCCCAAATTCAGGTTCTCCTCCCAGGCATGCAGCCCATTGAGCTTCATGGTTCAGAATTAAATTTCACATAGCAGACTTCCCTGGATTCATTCTTTCTGGTTTTCATGTATGATAAAGTGTGACAGCTTATGTATTCCACAGACTTCTCTTTGTAATCCTCACAACTATCCTTTAATGGTGAATAAAACTAAAAAAAGGTAAAGAAAGTGGCTTTGGTAGCCAGATATTTTTCTTTGCCACATAATATTATAGCTGGGTATCAAGGGGTGGAAATCTGAGTAGGGTCAAATTATTAGGGATTCTAGAGTAGGAAGAGTCTATCAAAATTTTCTCTCTAATTTTAGAATAAAACATCTTATTAGGATACAGAGGGCCTGGGGCAGGGATTCTAGAGGGTCATCATCTTTCTGGTTTCCTTTTTTCTTCTAGTTCCTAGGGGAAATAGATGTAATCTTTGGTTCTGGACCCATTTCTCCTTTCTAATTTTCTTGTTCCAAAGGTAAGAGCTGGGCATGGTGGCATACATCTGTAATCCTGCAACTCTAGGAAACTGAGACAGGAGATTCACAAGTTGGAATGACTTTATGAGACCCTGTCTCAAGATAACAAAGGGGGGCGGCTAGGTTTAAACCCCTGTACTGAGAAAAAGTTAAGGTACTTTTCTGGTTGTCTAGGACCTTTGCCTCTGGCTTGGAGGTAGGGGTGGTATGAGCTTTCTGAGTTTTGTAGAGAGGGCAGGTGTGTTTCCCTGAGTCAATTTGATGGGAACTCAATCAAATCTTACTGTGAGCTCCACCCAACAGTTGATCAGCTTCTATGGAGAGCTCACACCTACACCAGTTGGATCACTAGACTGGAGATGGACAGGGATCCCTTGTAAGGAAGTAAAATAAGCTCAGCCTCCTTGTGCTCCTTGGTCTTGGGGACCAGACTGATTGAGCTCCACAGTGTTCCCTGTAAGCTCTGCCTGTTTCTTAGTTACTCCTGTGGATTCTACCAGCATTTCTCTTCCATGCCTTAGATATTGTTTCTGGCCTTGGTACAGCCTTGTAGTTCCTCCTTCCTTAGCCTCGTTGAACTTCCTTTGGAGCCTTGACTTTGGCATGGTAGAGAATCTGCTTTTCCTCTGTCTTCTTTCCTGTTGATATGGGAACACTTTTCTATTTCACTCAATTTTCCCTTTTTTATTTTAAGAGTATATTTTGGACCTTTCTTAAACATAAAAATGGCTTTTTTGTTGGTGTTACAATCTAACCTCATATGAGGCAGTATCTTTGACTAAGTATAAGAACAGTCATCTATAAGGGTTGAAAGATAAGGCCCTGGTATGAATATTGCAAGACATTATTTTTGCATAAATTATATCAGAAAGTAAGATACTTGTTTTTCCTGAAATGTGTGTCATTTTAAGTACGTGTGTGTGTGTGTGTGTGTGTGCACACACGTGCACTTGGGTGTGTGTGTTACTGGGGAATGAATCCAGGGTCTTTGCCCTGAGCGACATCTCCAAACTTTAAAAAAAAATTCAGAGAGGGCATCACCAAGTCACTAAATTGCCGACAATGGGCTTGAACTTGCAATCCTCCTGCTTCAAAAGTTCTGGGATGGGGCCGGGGATTTAGCTCAGTGGTTCTGCCACCTGCCTCACAAGCACAAGGTTCTGAGTTCAATCTCTGATACCAAAAATAAATAAAAAAGGTGTTGGGATTACACATGTGTGCCACTATGCTTGGCCATTTGGGGGTACTTATGAAGTTCCATTAAATACTGACAAATGCATCTCTTTAGAGAATTCATGTCTTCAAATGTTGTTATGTGTTACATCACATATCTTCTGTGTGAAATAATAAATAGTGGGAGAGACCTATATGGAATTAGAGTGTGATATAGTGGTAGAAGAGGTGAGCCTGCTGTTTGGATAATGAGTTTTTCTTTCCTCCTTCTGTAATATATATAGGAACTGTATAGGTAATCCTGATCATCTTGTAAAGTACATAAAACCAATTCAAAATAAATCTGGGGGAAAACAAAAACTAAGGGCAGCTTTGTGAAGGAGGGTGTAATCTTCAACATCATGCACCAGAGGGCACCATTTCATGTAAGCCTGGCAAGGACCCTCCTTCTCCGTTTGGAATTGAACTACGCATTTAAAAGAAGTAAAGGAGGGCCAGGGAGGAGAGCAAGAGAAAAATGAACACAGGTGTCATCCAAACAGCCAGTAAGTATCGTGTGGATCTGTTTGCTGTTACGTTTAGATGTATGGACAAGAGCAAACACAGAATCCAACTGAATATACCGAAATGTTTGTGTGTGTGTGTGTGTGTGTGTGTGTGTGTGTGTGTGTATACCTCAAAAATCTTTTGGTCACTCAGTATCTGGCAACCATCCTGTGTGGGATGAAAAATCATTATGTGAGACTTGGAAATACCATCTCCTGCTATGGAAGTCAGTGAGAGTGACAGTTCCTCTCCTGGCCCTGGCAGTAAGGCTTTGGACATGAACACCTGCCTCAGACTTAGCAATCAGACCCTCTGCCCAGAACTTTTTATGTTGAAGTGGTAGCATGGAAGCTGAGGGCCAATGAGATTATATATCTTGGTGCCTATGATGACAAATACTCAGATACAGTGAGCTAACAACAATGGCACAGCAAGGAAAACCACTTTGATTTCTATGGGAGGTGGCACAAACCACCACAAACAAAGTGTGGTCATCATAATAAGACAGTATGGATATCTGAGTGATCCTACACACAGATTACTGTGGTAGCCATTGATCACAGAGTCTTGGGAAAAATGTGTGGGCAGTCTAGGTAGATTAAATATATGCTCTGCAGTGGTAGGATTTTTTACCCTTTGATGCACTTAAAATAGCTAGAAAAGTTTCTGTCACATGGAAGTACTCACTAAATATTTGCTGTTTAAGGAATTAACAAATAGGAAACTCAAACCATCATGGTGGAAAATCTGGACCCTCATCCAATTTGCAGCCTTTTTTTCTCTGAGCTGTCAGTGAACCCAAGGTCTCCCATATGTAGGCGAACACTCTACCACTGAACTACATTCCTAGACCCCAGGAGATCTTAAATAAAAAATAATAGTTTTCCCATAGAAAGAAGCTTGTAATATTTTTGCAAGTGTTTATTGTGAACCTTCTTAACATTTACCAAAAAGATTTGCTGCTATTTCCATCATAACTATACACTAGGGTAAAGGATATGCTCAGAGCTTTGGGGAATTATTTCATCCTGGTTTTACTCTACCACACCTCTAGTAAATCTTAGAGCTGAGATGTGAAGTCCAGTCTAATTTATAAACCAGTATTTCCTACATTTTCCTAATGACAATAATTATCAAGGGTACTTGCAAAATATACAAACTCCTGAACCCCACTGTAGCTTTCTAAATGAGAATCAGCAAGGAAATGATTGGTAAATTTTGCACTATGGATGGTTATCATACAAGTTTAGGAGACATCTGGTACTGTTCTTTGGGGAGCTAGAAGGTCTTGAAAAGGTCATGTATGCAATCATCATGCATTTCAAGTGTCTAATCAGTGGTGCTTGCTTCTCATCCCACCATTGCTAGCATGACCCACATTGTTTGAGGGATCCCACACGCAGCCTTTTCGAGCTGTGAAGAAGGTGGGGCAGCAGATAGGGCTGGAGCAGAGATTTGCAAAGCTTCGTCGAAGACTGCTCCGAAAACATAGTTTTAATAAATTAAGCATATATCACTACTGCATGTGGCAGAAGAGCCCACAGCCTTATTTATTTTGCTCAGGTTGTGTTAGCCCTTTCCTAATGAGTTGATATTCCAAGGATTAAAATGACACAGAACCATCCAGACCTTTATCCTGAATTCTCTTAAAATATGTGTGTTGCATTGAGTGGTGAATAGGAAATTGATAAGAGATTGAAGATATGCATCAGGCTACAAGCTCATCTTGGGACACAAAATATAAAAAATTAAAGAATTTCTTCTCATTATCTGGTCTTCAATATACCAAATAAAACAACATTTTTCAAAGGTAAGTACTATTTTATTTGCAATTCATTATTTTTTCATTGAGTTTATTGGTACTTTTTAAGTATACAGTACAGTTGCATTCATCATTTGGACCTTGTACCTGTACAAGAAAGATCTTGGTTTTCATTTTTACCCCATACTCCTGCCCTCCATTCACCCCCTCCTCCCTTCCCTATTTATAAAGACTTTGTTTCCATTTTTTCCTCTTCTCATTTTTTTCCTTTTCTTTTATTTCCTTTCCCCTACCCTTCCTACTTCCCCTACACCTTTAGCCCTTTTCTTCCTATTTCACATTAGCAGTTATAGAATTTGGATCTTATTTAGTTTTTCACACCAGACAAACTATTTGGTATTTACATGAGTGTCTTATTTATTTCACTTAAGAGTATGGCCTCAATATGCATCCATTTTCTTATGACTCTAGTTTCTCATTCTTTATAGCTAAGTAGTACTCCATTTTATAGAAAAACCATATCTTCTTTGCAATTCATTATTAACAACATTCCTTCAAACTTCCAAAGTTATATCTTTCCATGGGACAAAGTTTTGCTAGGCATTATAAGCTCCCCAACAATCCTAGGATTTAAAAATTTTCTAAATCCTCTCATAGGTGTGACACTGAATTAATCTTTTCTCACAAGTTTGGAGAACATTTGTGTTAGTCACTTTTCCAACTCTGTTACAAAAAACCTGAGAACAACTTAAAGGAAAAATGGTTTATTTTGCCTCCCTGTTTAAAGTCTCAGTTCATGCTCAGCTAATTCCATTGCTTGTAGGCCTGTAGTGAGACAGAAATATCATGGCAGAAAAGTGTGGTGGAGAAAAAATGCTTACCTCATGGTGGCCAGGAAGGAGAGAAATGGGGAGAGGGGGAGAAGAGAGAATACATTGAGGATTCTAGGGCAGGTCTGCCCATCAGATTGCTGATCCACAGGCCAATTGTCTCTGGAAACACCCTCACAGACACACCAAGAAGTGTGCTTTACTAATTTCCTAGGCATTTCTCAAATCAATCAAATTGATGAACAATACCACTTGGGATGTTCTAAGCTAAATTTTAAGATTTACAAGGAAGGTGCTCTTTCATCTTTAATATAAATTTCCTATCAGAAGAGGACAAGAGAAATGAAGAATTCATGAAAAAACAAGTGCCTGATGAGAAAGGGAAATCAATTCATTTGATGTTGATGTCTTAAGTGGACAGAATACCCAAGACACAATGCTTATTAGCATTACATCAAGCTTAGCTGTGGTGGAGCACATCTGTAATCTCAGCTACTTGGGAGGCTGAGGTGGGATGATTGTGAGTTTGAGGCCAGCCTAGCCAATTTAGTGAGACCTTGTCTCAAAAAAATCACATCAAATGTAATAGTTTATAAGTGCCTTGTAAGCTGAGTTTAAGTATGAAAAGTTAAAGTCTTCAGAGGGAATGAAAGGTTGGAGTAATGAAGAGATCTTAGATATGTTTAGAAAGTATGAATTAAGTATGGAGCAAGTCTGGTACATTGAAGAAGTCCCAGGAGTACAGATAAGGTATCTCTATTATGAGATATATGCCAGAGATAAATAGATATTGCCTGTGGAATCTGGAATCCTTCACAGAGGTCACTATGTGTTCACAAGGGGTGGATTTCTATTGACTAGAGCTTAATTCTACTCCTAACAATCACAGTGGCAGGAAAAGCATGCCAATATGAGCAACGCTGGTGAGTCTCTGAGAGGGATTTATCTAATGTTTTGAGGCCTCAAGGGAAACCACATGCCTTCCCAAATATTAAATTGTAGTGAGCCATTCAGGGAGACCACATGTGACTTTCTGTCATCAATGTACCTTGCTTTCTGATTTTCTTACTTCCTCTTCCTAGTTTCTGCTGCCAGATCTTTAAGGCCAGAACAAGGCCTCATTCATAAAGCTACTCAGGCAAGAGAGAGGAAGTCAAACATAGGCTGAGCCATCAAGAGCCTTTCCTCCTCCCAGCGGAAGGCTAACATGGGGTTTGAGACTACCCAGTGATTTCTTTTGTTGACAATTCAACATTATTATGGCATGGAATGAGTGCTGAAGACCTTCCCAAATTATTAGAAAGTTTAAGGCAGAAAATGTAGGAATTGGAAACATAGGAATGAAGAAATGATAAAATGAGGGCCTAGGATTTAGCTCAGTGGCTCAGCTGCCTGCTTAAGCAAGGTACCAAGTTCTATCCCCAGTAGCAAAACAAACAAATAAACAAAAACCCTAAAGAAATGGAGGACCTTGCTCACACACCTCATTATGACTGTCTTGTCAATGGCAAATTCTATCATAATCAACCCCCCTTGCTTCCAGTCGAATATATATAAAAGGGAAATAATCCATGGGGAAATTTCTGCTAAGCCCATTTCCTACACTCAGATGGTTTCAATAATCACATTCATTTAAGAAATCCATGTTAGTTTCTATAAATGACAAAGCTCCCAAAGATTAAAGATAATTGAAAACAAAGTTTTGTGATAATATCTGTTTCTTCTTTGTAAGAATCTTTTTACTCTGGAAGACATTGGTATAGGAAAAGACTTTATGAACAAATCCTCAGTAGCACGGGAACTAGCAGAAAGAATCAACAACTGGGATCTCATCTTACTAAAAAGCTTCTGTACTTCAAAAGAAACCATTAGCAGAACTAAGAGACAATCTACAATGTGGGAAAAAATTTTTACCAGCTGTACCTCAGACAAAGGACTATTATCAAGGATATATAAAGAACTCAAAACAATCAGTCCCCCCAAATATAAAGACCCGATCCAAAAATGGGCATCCGAAATGAACAGACATTTCTCATACAAAGAAGTGAAAGCAGCAAGAAAATATATGAAAAAATGTTCCACATCACTG